TTCTAATCATGCATTTTTATAATTATATTTCTAAGTAATTACTTTACATTTTCTACACTTCCTACATAAAAATAATCAGCCCATGAGTTTACTCCTGTAATGGAAATTTTCTCTCTATCTTCGATCTTATTCCCTAAAGTTAAGTAACATACAAACTTGTACTTTGGGGACAATTTTTCCCTTTCTTGTCCCTAGGTGAGAGAAAAGTGGCAAAGAAAACAAGACCCTGGGTCTCCTGGGTGGCACAGCGGGTTGGGCACAGAGCTGTGAAGCTGTCCGCAGCCTCCGTGCACCGGTTGGATTCCCGGCCGGCCAGGGAGAATCCCACATGGCAAGGCAGACCTCTCCTGTCTCACCTGCTGCTCCCCTCAGGAATGCTTTCCGTCTGTCTTCCTGTTCTGCTCCCCACTCTGTCTCTGGTGAATCCTCTCACCCTCCCTCAACGCTGACCTGTACCCCATGTCTTGTATAAATAAAAATAAATCTTTTAAAAAAAAAGAGGGACTCGGACCTCCCCAGTGGTGCAGCGGTTGAGCGCTGGGCTGAGAAGCTGCCCGCAGCCTCTGCAGTGCCGGTTCGATCCCTGGCCCCCAGCGAGGGTCCCACATGGCACGCAGACTTCTGCTGCACACTGCTCCCCTCACAGTGTACTTTGTCACTCTGCCTGTTCTGCTTCCCGCTCTGGTGAATTCTCTCACCCTCCCGCGCTTCTGATTGTACCCAGCGCTGGTATAAATAAATAAATCAATCTTAAAATAAAAAGAAAAGAGGGACTCCCCTGGTGGCGCAGGCGGTTGACAGCTGTGAAGCTGTCCCAGCCTCTGCAGCATCGGTTCGATCCCGTGCGGCCAGCGAGGATCCCACATGGTGTGGCAGACCTCTCCTGTCGCACCCACTGCTCCCCTCAGTAGCGTATTTCGTCATTCTGCCTGTTCTGTTGCCCACTCTGTCTCTTGGTGAATCCTCACCCTCCCCGAATCTGGTCTGTACCCCAATCTTGTATAAATAAATAAATGAATCTTTTTTTAAAAAAGGAAAAAAAAGAAAAGAAAATAGGATCAACAAGATTATACTATTTCAAAAGTTCTCCTACCAAAAAAAACCTAAATTCCTCAGGGATGTCATCAAATATTTAGATTATACAATGTCTTCTTTTTTCCCTTTTTTAAAGAATGGATCTAACTTTGAACATTAGTACTTACAGTCAATTTAATAGTTCTCATTATCAAAAAAGTAATTATTATCTCTACCTTACACCTTCTTAAATTTAAATTGCACTAGGGCCTCCCCGGTGGCACAGGGGTTAAGACACAACCTATGAAACTGTCCGCTACAGCACGCATTAGATCCCCTGGCCAGCCAGGGAGCAACCCACATGGCGAGGCAGACCTCTCCTGACTCGCCCGCTGCTCCCCTCAGCAGTGTACTTCAGTCAATCTGCCTGTTCTGTTCCCTACTCTGTCTCTGGTGAATCTTCTCACCCCCACACACCTCTGGCCTATACCCCAGCTCTTGTATGTATAAATAAATAAATCTTAAAAAAAAATAAAATAAAAATAAATTTAAATTGCACTAAACTATACCACAGATATCCAAATCATTTCATCTCCACCATCACTGCAGTCTTAAATTTTAAAACATTTGAGATTGCTTACTAAATACTTGAATAATGCTTTTTATAACTAGTGTATTTACATAGATCTAATATAAGATCAGTAGAGACACAGTCCACTGTAGTTCAGGTAAATCTCAACTCCATTTTCCCTCTGTCTGGTGTCCTCAGTTATTACACCAGTCTGTACTCTACAATCAACCAACCCCTTGGCCTAATTTCACTATCATATAATAATTACAAATCTTATTTTACTTTTTCACATTGTCCATACCAACCTTACTTTGATCTGTGTAGCTCTGAGACACCCACACACACTCCATATATATAGTGTTACTTATTTTTTGCTATATTATTGGTCAGGAATGAACACTTCATTTTAACAGTGCTCTCTAAAACAGGACAGTGCTACAAGTATCAACAACACAATAAAGGGGGGGAGCAAATGTTGTTTAAAAAGGAACAATGATGGGGGCCTCCCCGGTGGCACAGCGGTTGAGCCGCTGGGTTGCGAAGCTGCCAGCAGCTTCCGCAGCGCCGGTTCGATCCCAGGCTGCTCCCCAGCCACCGGAGGAGGGTTCCACATGGCGCGCAGACCTCTCCTGCCGCCCGCTGCTCCCCTCAGCAGTGTACTTCGGTCCTTCTGCCTGCTCTGCTCTCCGCTCTGGCTCTGGTGAATTCTCTCACCCTCCCGTGCTTCTGACTGTACCCAGTGCTTGTATAAATAAATTAATAAATCTTAAAAAAAAAAAAAAAGGAACAATGATGTAAAAAATATTTTAAAAAGCAAAAAAAAAAAAAAAAGAACACAATAAAATAAGTAGATTTTGACTGTAAGTTTTAAAATAAATACTTTTATTTCCTTGCTGAAATTCCATTCCTAGACATCTGACCTTAAGGTCTAGGAAATAAATTTAAGTCTTACAGCCTCTTTTCCTAGTCCTCTTGATCTTCTAAATACATTTCTTAATTAGATTAGTTATTTCCATTTGCTATATCACTAATTTTCTTACCCTATTCTGCAGTGTGAAATATTAAAGATTACTTTCGTCTGTTCCTCCTCCGTTTACTTCCATTATGTTCCTACAAACAGAATTCTTTTCAACATTTAAATTTAGTTTAATTCCTCACTTTATAAATGATGAAACAGGGCCTCCCTGGTGGCACAAGGGGTTGAGACTCAGCCTATGAAGCTATCCGCAGCCGCTGCAGCACGAGTTCGATTCCTGGCCTGGCAGGGAGCAACCCACATGGTGCAGCAGACCTCTCCTGACTCACCCGCTGCTCCCCTCAGCAGTGTACTTCGGTCAGTCTGCCTGTTCTGTTCCCTACTCTGTCTCTGGTGAATCCTCTCACCCCCCACACCTCTGGCCTGTACCCCAGTTCTTGAATGCATAAATAAATAATTCTTTTTTAAAAATGATAAAACAAACCCAAAAAGTAGGTTATTTTCTAGATGTCAGCTACTAGAAAAAGAAAAAAGTTTAGCATTACCACTCTCTAAAAATCACTTTACTAAAGAAGTCTGACATAAAAAAATCAAGGTTTTTTTTTAAGTCCCCAATATACTCCTCTCTTCAGGAACTCACTCAAAACTCTCTTAAATCAAACTAGTCTTCCCAGCTTTTAAATACTATTTTTCACATAGGGCATGAAATGTCAATTTCAAATGAGCAAACACACTAATTTATGATAGTACTTGCAAACAAATATTCCCCCTTTGTCACTGTCTCCTAATGAACAGACCATTTTATCCAAAGAGATAATTACAAAAGTACTCTAAGGCTCTAGAGACTTAAAATTAATTAACATAATTAGGGCTAGGGTCTGCTTGCCTATAATTAAAATTTACCAAGCGTCTTTTAATGAAAGGAAGAGACACTCATCAAGCACAAGAAAGTAAAATAGTCTAAAATAATCACCACCAAAATAACTATTTCCAACCTTTTATCTTTTGGAGGGAAACGACTAGCAGGTGCTGATGCATTTGTAGGTGAAACTCAAATAAAATGTGCTTTTATTTATTCACCAACTTTTTCACATTTCCAACTAAAACAGAAATACAAGTTAAAGCCTCATCAACCCCCTACCGGCATAAAGTTTACAAAATAAAGCACAAGGTTTACAAAACAAACGCACGCGATTGCATCAACAGCAGGACCCAGGCTTAGGGAAATAAAGATTAGACGGTAATCTAGCAAAATGTTAACAGATACATAGGTCTGAGGATGGAAACGCGGTTTGATTTTCTACTTTGTGTTTCCCTACCTTTCCAAGTTTTTCCCGCATGAACATCCATTACTTTTATACTGTGAAAAATCTCAATTCAAAATAAGCCATGCAACACATAATAAAGGTTCACTTGGAAGGGCTCTGCGTGCTGTGCCAGCGTTACTAACATGATCCACCATTAAAGATAATGCCTCCACCCCGCCTCACCTCCCCACATGGAAATACTGATGTTTAATCTCATTAGTTTTCTGCTGCACCCTCAACGAGGGGAGCAACTTCACTCTCTCTCCTAACGTTTCCTTCCTACTTACATCACGCTTTTTAACTTTTTTCATGAAACACAGAGGTCTCCCAAACTCTATATAGTCCTTAAAAACCATCTCTAAACTTCGCAAAAGAAATCAGACCGGGGAAGTGGGTGGAGGGAGAAGAAAAAATGGTTTTGCACACTAACTCCAACTTGGCGAGGCCATCATCCTGCAACCACGGGCAGGAGAAGGCCGGGTGAACTACACGTCCCACCATGCACTGCTGCCTAGTTCAGAGCAGGTCTCTACGGAAACAGAAAAAAAAATTCTGCAAGTCCCACCTGTTACTTCGTTTCTAAACACCTCCTGCACTTTCGGCTCCAACGGCAAACAAAAACAAGCGCCTCGTGACCTGCAGTCGGAGCCGAGCGCCCCGAAGAGCAGGGGCCCGGGGGCCGGCGGCGTGTCTGGACAGCGGGGTGAAGGCTCCCCGGCGCCAGCGCTCCCCGCTTCTTTCCGGGGCTGGTGCACGCACGTCTGCATCCAATGGGGGCCCTCGAGCCGCCAGGGACAAGAACCGGTTTACTGGGGAAGCACAACAGACTTCCCCGGGCAGGGCGCGCGCTGCCCCAGAGTTGGGGGCGAGAGGAAACCGACCCGGAGCGGCAGCTCCAGCCGCCAAGAGGACTAGTCGCAGGCGCGGGGAGAAGCCGGCCCCGCGGCGCCCCTCTTCCGCCGGCGCCTCCATTCCCGCAGGGATCACAGCCCCGACCCCAACCGCCGCCCGCTCCGCGCGGTTTTGTGCGCCCCTCAGCCGGGTCGCCGGCCGGTGACCTCCCCGCCCCGGCGGCCGGCGGGAGGCCAGAGAAGGAAATCCCCCCGGCCCCCTGCCGCTCCCTCCGCCTTACCGTCTTGGCGGCCTCCGCCCAGGTCCTGCCCTTCTTCCTACGGCCCTTTTCCCTCATGTCGGGTCTTGAACTGACTGGGAGGCTCCCGTGTCCGGGCTCCGGCCGCCCTCCCTGCCTGCTCTGCCCTGCGCTGCTTTTCCCGCGGTGCCGGGAAAGGTGGGAGGAAGGGGAAGTCGGGCCGAGGAGCACCCAAGCAGAGGAAGCGGCGGGCGGGGTGCGCGGGGGGGTCTATGGGGCGGCCGGTCCTCCTGCTGCCGTTGCCACTGCTACCGCCGCTGCCATATTGGGTTCTTACTGTACAGGCAGCCGCGGCGGTCATGTGACCGCTCCCGCGCGGCCGTCACTACTGTACGCAGCCGGCGCACGAACGAGCGCGCGCGCCCCCGCCTCCGCGCAGGGCTGCGGGGAGAGCGAGTCGGCGGTTCGGCGGCGCCTCGCCACGCCCCCGCCCTCCCGCTCCCCGCCTCGCCTCCGGAGCATGCGCGTGGGGGCGGCCGACGCTCGGCGGCGACGGGCGGCCGCGCTCACGCCGGCCGGGGAGGCTCTGCCTGCGGAAGCGGAACTTGATCCGTCCCGGAAGGCGCGTTGGGCGGCTTCTGGCCGCGGAGAGGCGCCGGGGTGACTGTGGAGGCTTGGGGGAGCCAGGCTTCTCCGTCAAGGGGTCACCGGCTCAGCTGTCACGCTCAGCGAGCCTCGTGCTTGTGTTTTTTTCATTCGTCCATGTTCTTTTTCTACAATGGTTATGTTTTGGGAAGTTTTACAACAATTCTCTCGTCTACTTGTTGACCCCATTCTATAGATGAAACAATTTGAGAACCATTTACAAACTCACCCATCTAGAATGCGATGAGACCCAAAATCAAATGGCCAACCAAGATCCCTTTTCATGTCCCCGAAATACCTCTCAAACATGACTTTTTTCAGGGCCACCCCTAACTGCAGAGGCGTGCTTACATATGAAACGTTTGCGTGTAAATCATCTCACCAGGAAAGAAATGGTGTCTTTTACCTTGGTGAGCTCAGTCCCGGGCACAGTGCCTGTATCTATCAGACACCCAGTAAATTCTTGCTGAATGACTCACCTGTCTGTGGTCAGAACTCATTACATGTAGTGGCCATATGGACCTTCCAAAAGGTGCAGAAGGCGGCATCTTCTGTCGCATTATCAAGGTCTTTATACTTTGCAAAGTCAAAAGAATGTGTAATAACACCTCCAAGTCTGTTGAATCCACCTGCTTCCAGAAACTGTTTCTAGTCTACTAAACTTAAAATATTCTAAAATGAAACTAACGATTGTGCTACCTCGGGAGGAAAGAGAGCTAAGAACAATATTTAACTGAAGCCCACGAATGAGTTTTAGAAATTCATGGAGCACCTTAATTATGGGTAATATTTTGTATATTGCATGTGCATTTTTTTGTGAAGAGGATTCATATTTTCAGTTTTTGAAGGGGGTCTGTTACTTCCCCCGAAAGAAAATCTTAATGGAGTTTGAAAGGCCATCTAGATATGTCCATATACTTTCACTGATCAAGTATAGATCAGCAATTGATATGGATATACTTTCACAAGTTTCATTAGTAACGCATAGCACTAACCATACCTCTCATGGTATGTACCACCTCATTGTAGATCTGCAGTCAATACAAAAAAGACCTTCTCCATTAGGAATGGAGGTTGCCATCCAGCCCTGTTGCCTGAACCTGGGTGCTCTAACTCAGCTTGTCCTTAAACCCTGCTAGGCCAGATGCTCCCATCGTTCTTACTTTGCATTTCTGGAACTCCATCCTCAGATTTTATTTTATTTTTAATTTATTTTATTTATTTATGCATATGAGAGCTGGGGTGTAGGCCAGAGGTGCTGGGAGGGAGTGGTGTGAGAGGATTCACCAGAGACAGAGTAGGGAGCAGAACTGGCAGATTGACCAAAATACACTGTCGAGGGGAGCAGCAGGGAGCAGCGGGTGAGATAGGAGAGGTCTGCTGCGCCATGTGGGTTAGCTCCCTGGCTGGGGATCAAACTCAGGCCATAGCAGTGATAGCGCTGAAACTTAACCCCTAGGCCACCAGGGAGGCCCCCTATATTTCCACTTTAATATATATGGACCTAGAAGAAAAAGAGCTGTATTAATCTAATAAACCTGGTATTTCCATGTGGAGGAAATGCCCTGGAGGGACCATCCTGGCGCCTTACTTTATCCCTTCCTTCCCAAGTCTAAAGAGGCATGAATGTGTGCATAATCATATTGTATCTAAAATACCTGATTAGAAAAGACAGCGGAGGGCCTCCCCGGTGGCGCAGCGGTTGAGCGCTGGGTTGCGAAGCTGCCCGCGGCCTCTGCGGCGCCGGTTCGATCCCCGGCTGCTCCCCAGCCACCGGAGGAGGGTCCACATGGCGCACAGACCTCTCCTGCCGCCCGCTGCTCCCCTCAGCAGTGTACTTCGGTCCTTCTGCCTGCTCTGCTCCCCGCTCTGGCTCTGGTGAATTCTCTCACCCTCCCGCGCTTCTGACTGTACCCAGTGCATGTATAAACAAACAAACAAATAAATAAAAAACTTTAAAAAAAAAAAAAAAAAAGTGTAATGGCAATTCAGAGAAGAAGAATAGTTTAAAAAAAAAAAAAAAAAAAAGAAAAGACAGCGGAAAGTAGATCTTTTTGGGCCTCCCTGGTAGAACAGGGGTTAAAGTTTCAGCCCTATCAAGCTATCACAAGCCACTGTGGCATGGGTTCGATCCCAGGCCAGGGAGCTAGCCCATATGGCACAGCAGACCTCTCCTGTTTCACCCGCTGCTCCCCTCAGCTGTGTAATTCAGTAGATATGCCTGTTCTGTTCCCAACTCTGTCTCCAGTGAATTCTCTTACCTCCCGCACCTCTGGCCTACACTCCGGTTCTCGCATGCATAAATAAATAAAATAAACCTTTAAAAACAAATTTAAAAAAATAATAAGTAGATCTTCTCAACCCTTCTCCCCTCTCACAGAACTTGTAAATACCTAACAGTTCCCATTTCTCCACTATGCAAAACAATTTAACTTCCTTGGTGACCAGATCAACAAAAACCTAGAGGAAAGGAAAGGAATTGGCTATTGAGTATCTACTACATATCTGACAATTTACATTAGGATATGAAGATTCGAGAAACTTCTCAAGAACCGTTTCTCGGGCCTCCCCGGTGGCGCAGCGGTTGAGCGTTGGGTTGCGAAGCTGCCCGCAGCCTCTGCAGCACCGGTTCGATCCCCGGCTGCTCCCCAGCCACCAGAGGAGGGTCCCACATGGCGCGCAGACCTCTCCTGCCGCCCGCTGCTCCCCTCAGCAGTGTACTTCGGTCCTTCTCCCTGCTCTGCTCCCTGCTCTGGCTCTGGTGAATTCTCTCGCCCTCCCGCACTTCTGACTGTACCCAGTGCTTGTATAAACAAAACAAACAAACGAACAAAACAAAATAAATAAAAACATGCCTCTATAAAAAAAAAAAAAAAAGAACCGTTTCTTTTTTGAATAATTTGCCAACTAGTACTATGACCTCGAAATACTTAATACAATTTGATCAAACAGGTTAATTTAGTATCTTTCAGTCATGAAAGATAGTGAGAACCAGACAGGACTGCAAAACTGAAAAACAGTGAGGACAAGGGCTATATCTTTCATGTTCATTATTGTATTTGCAGTGCAACAGAACAGACCCTTTTAATGAGAGGTATTTGATACATCTTTATTGTGTGAATAAAGAAATAAATGAGTGCATAATCCCTATATTCAAGTAGCTCATATTAAGTAAAAAGGGCCTATAAGCAAATCAGAGTCTCTAATCTGGAAGACGTCTATTAATTTAGATAAAGAAAAAACAAATTTTTACTTCCATGAAACTTGATTTATCATATATGACTTTGTCACCAAAGAAATCACAAATATTTTCATATTATATTACAGTTAAGATAACTGGAAATGTTTGTGCATTTATCACAACTTCACAATTTCAAAATTATTAGATTTGTCACTGATCTTGTTATTTGGTCCATTAATAATGAAGTATATATATCACTATAGCACAAATTTGTTTTTCTAGTAAATGTAACACTGCATTTCAACATAATTGACTTTCTTTATAATCCCATGTATTTTATTTACATATTTAAAGACATTCTGAAAAGGCTCCACACCAGTCCACAGATTTCCACAGGAATCCATAGCAGAAAACAAAAACAAAAATACACAACAAAAAACAACAAGAGGTGCAGGTAGTTAAGACCCCCCCCCTTCCCCATTCCAGAGGCAGATCAAGTGGATAAATCATTGCACTCCATTATAGGGTGAAACAAGTTTTTTGGAATCCTTGGGCCTTTGTTTACTCATGTGAAAATGAGTATAACACTGTTAGTGTCTGTTTCATAAGGTTATTGTAAAAATAAAGTACACATAAAGAGCTTAGAATAATGTCAGATAATGAATAAATATTCACTAAACGATAATATACCCTGTCTGAATCTTAGTTTCTAAAGAAGTTCCAACAAATGATCCCTTAAATCCAGCATTCCCTGACACTGTAGCCTACTTGTGAAGATTTCCCTGAATGCTGGTACCTTCGCTGGTGGCCAGAGATTGAACTGGCAACCCAGCGCTCAACCGCTGCGCCACCAGTGGAGGCCCCCAAGATTCCTTTTTGTCAGTAAATTTGAGGATCAATGAAGTGTCAGCACAGATTTTCATTTTCTGCAAAGAACTAAAAAGGCAACTTCCTTGAGAATTAAGGCTGGTAGGGGCCTCCCTGGTGGAACAGCAGACCTCTCCTGTCTCACCCACTGCTCCCCTCAGCAGTGTATTTCACTCAATCCTCCTGTTCTGCTCCCTACTCTGTCTCTGGTGAATCCTCTCACCACCCCCCACACACCTCTGGCCTACACCCCAGTTCTTGGATGCATAAATAAAATAAATCTTCTTTTTAAAAAAGGCTGATATTTGGGCCTCCCCTGGTGATGCAGGGGTTGAGCGCTGGGCTGTGAGGCTGCCCGCAGCCTCTGCAGAGCTGGTTCCTTCGTTCCCGGTTTTCCGGGCAGCCGGCGAGGGTCCCACAAAAAAAAAAAAAAAAAAAAGCCTGATATTTAAACGCAGGTTTAACGCATAGACTCCCCCATGGAAAACACCCTATTCCAGGTTCTCTAAAGCATGAATCTGTGTACTGTTGATAGGCATGAACAAGCTCCCTTCATGAGCTTGAAGGCAAAACCAGAGCAGAAACTGTACTGTATTGCAGGTGGTCAGAGGCTCAGAGACATAGAAGCAGGAAGGAAGGCAGAGGAATTGGAGGCCACCCAGGAA